AATATATATATATATATATATATTATATATATATATACATGTATGTATATGCAGCTCAGCATTGCATTGTGCCAAGCAGGTAAGCCAATTAAAAGATCATAATTTTTGAAAGATCTATATGAAGCTAACCAGTTCGATTCTTTCACTGATGAAACGATTAATTTGGGGGTAATAATTGGCTAAAAGTAAAGGATCAGTTTCACTGAAGTTCATTACAACGTTGCCTGGTGAGAGCGTACATTTTTGTAGATCGGTCCGAAGGTGACCATCAACATTAATAGCAGCCACAAAAAATGATTTCACTTTTGCACTGCAATTAACCAAATTTCATTTCCCTGTTATAACATTTGAGAAATTTAACTGAATTCTGCATGGCAGTGATTAAGTAATCGTCTTTACTTTTATCTTCATCGTTTCTCTAGACTTTTAAATTCAATCAATCTAAGCCTGTTTTTGCACGAAATTTATCAGACAGAAAAATTACGAGCAATTTATTTCATGTCAAAAAAAAAGTAATTGCTTGAAAGATGATTCACTTCGGAAACAAGGCTGGAAATACCCAATTGACAATTACCCAATTGTTTTATAGCTTCTGTACCTCTTTAAAGTTCACATTACTTTATCATTCGAAGAAGTAGTCGAAAAATGAAAAATAAAATGGTTATTATTTCAGTAAGAATGATTGTCGTCATAAAAAATTTAACTAAAAAATTCTGGCACAGAAAATTGATATCTTATTGATTCGACCTCGGTCTAAAAAGATAGAATACTGGATAAATAAATATTGAAAAAAATTCTTAGCAATTTATAAAACCAAAAAGCTCTAAATTCACAAGCTTTCTGAATAGACCTTAGAACTTTTAGCACCTGTCAATTTGAAGCACAGCAGATCCATAAAAGTCACCAGCAGGACTGGAAAATTTGAATAATGTACCGATTGAGAGATTCAGATGAGAGCCCTGAAAAATTCTTTGTCTTGACTTCAGAAATTCACTTAAAATAAATCCCTTTAAATTTTCACCACCATTGATACAGATTAGCTTATATAACCTGCAGAAAGTTGATAAGAATCCATATGATGTTAAATTGTATAAATTGCAAAAGAAATTAATATTGCGGAATGATTCATGCGATGGTGTGTAAAAATGTTCCAAGAAAAAGTTCACCATCCAAATGATCCCTTGTCCGGGGGCAATAAATAACCGTGATTTGAATATTTTCGAATCGTAACCAATAGCTCTCGTTGAAATGAGACCAAATGTTACCTAAATTTTTCTTTTAAATCTTCAAATTAAAAGAAATGAAACCACAACAAGTGGATAAAAGCAAAAGCAACTTGTACAAATTGCATTCAGCTACCTATACATAGAATATAACTAGGCCACTGATAATCTAGCACTCAATGTATTAAGTGATCCATTTCAATATTCAGTTGATAAATATAATATAAAGCAGACGGTAAACATTTTGAATTACCATGTATAACACTAACTGTCTCATTTTAGTTTTTAATTTCGCTTTATTTTTAATTATCCTTCGCAAAGAATAAATCAGAAAATTGGAATAATCAGAATGTTCAGAAATGGGAACGGAACTTGAATCTTAATTTAGATGAAGTAAGGTAATTTCATTGAAAACCTCGTTTGTAAGTGATGCAGAAAAATTGAAAATAATTTCGCCATGATGCATAAACCTATTGATGCGTTCTTTCAGATAATCGGCCAACAAGTCCAAAGCTCTCTGATTGATTCGTGTTACAAAACCCGCATGCGTGTTTGGCTTTGTGAAGAAGCTGTCTGTAAACAATCTTAGTAAGTTCATTTATATTTTTTCTGTTCCTCTTCATTCCTCCACTTCATTTCTTTACTCCATTTAGGCCAAACTTCATCGCTACAAGTTGACCAAATAACTCTAGCACGTGATTTTACACATATTTTCCGCTTATTCATAATTAAATCTATTCCAGACTCCGTGCGGTCCCATAAATTAGAATTCCTGTTTTCGTTATTACTCGAGTAGTACTTCCTGGTGTCAGCTACTTTATTTATCATCCAACATATTTCCAATTCATTTGAAACTAAAAAACTAAAAAACTACCCACTATACAGTATAATATTTCGCATTTCGGATATTATCCCTCTTCACAATCTTTAAGAAACAAATCCCGTCTTTGTTTTTTCCTTACTTCACAAAGGTGACAACATTGACACATAGGAGTTGAATGATTTTGGTAAGTACCACACCTATTATAAAAAAGAAGATTAAAGAGAAACTTACTTGTTAAAAACTGTGAATTTGTAAGGGCGCAAAATTGCAATGAAACAACAATCAGCTCTAAAATCATACTGCTTCTTCAGCCGTAGTAAGCAAAGAAGGCCGAAAGCACACCGTGCGTTACTCCTTTTCCAATAGACAAGACAGTAATGATAATATCGATAACGTTGAAAATAATATTAGCGATGATAATGATGATGAATGAATAATAACGCTGCAAGGGTCGAAGCCTTAATAACACGGCAATAATGATGAAAAGGGTGCTAATGATTAAAATGGATAACATGATAATGAAAGCAGAGCTGGACTGTTATTGTTAGCTGAACGTAAATCTGTTTTCCTCAAAATAATCGATCAACAGAAAAGGCAGAATTTGACAGAAACAGTTTGGCAAAAGATGCATACTAAATAAACCGCAATCATTCAACAAAAAATTATTCAGCAAATAAAGGAAAAGGATAAAAAATATTACTGCTCAGATACCTATCAAACAGGTAAGTCTTGGAACTGAGATTGTCTCCAAGAATGTTGCTCAAACGGAAGCACAAAGCATATCGATAAAACGAAATTTTTAAAAATAATGTAATCATATGGACGAATTATTGTAAAAAATTATATTTAGTGAAGCAATTAGCTAGAAAACGAAATGAGTCAATTCCTTACTTCTACTTCTCTTTTTTCTTTGCCGAAAGAGATTCCGGGAAAAATGGAGCCGGAAGTTCGGAGACCTCAGGAAATTAGACCTGAAATATTGATGTCCAACAGAATAGTGCATGTTCATAATCACGATATTAATAACTAGTAAAAATCATACCTTAATTTTCCTGATCTTGTTAACGTTCCTCACGGCGTTTGTTCGATAGCAAACCTGAGTAAAGTAATTACTGTCTTATTTGTTAAGAAAATAAAGCCTGCTTGCTGGATAAAACGGACTCCGTGGAATCATAGCCTAAAACAGCTTTGAAAAATATTTTGCTTCATTAGAGTTAAAACTCGGTTTAAGTTGAAATAATTATTTCTATACAATTCGAATAAACAGGTAGCAGTTACCGACATTTCGGCAAAATCTTAGAATTAACGTTAAGTCATTTCAGTGAGAAAAACTTTTTTGAAATGGAAACGACAATTTTAACGGAGTCAAGGGTCGCAGACCAAGCATTTTTAAATATTTATCGGGGAGAAATCCAGAAGAAATCTAGAAGTGGTAAAAATTAGCTTGTTTTATGAATTCTACCATTTGCAAAAAAAGGACTAGAATAATCCTACTAAATATTGGTACTCATAATCGTTTATACGTATTTTCAACATTTTGTAGGGAAATGAATCAAAATTTAAAGAAGATTAGAGGCTTTCAAATTCAACATTCATATTTCTATATATCTTTAATAAAGGTCTAATTTCGTACTTCCCATTATATTTTTTTGTGACCTACTTCTTTAATATTATTCATATTATTCAATTCCTCAGTCACTCAGCTCTGCAAATTTACAGTTACGGTCAGAAAGATGATAAAAGACTTAGAATGATCCTGTAAACAAAGTTTAGAATGGTCAATGAGTCATGATTTTTCTTAATCTTTGTTCTGCAGATTTTTTTTATTGGATCTATCTGCGTGTTAAATTTAGAAATATCATTGCTCAATTGCTGAAGTTAATAGAAACAACATCTCTAACCTTTCTTTTCCCAGCTGAAAATATGCTACAGATCTGAAATCCCTCTAGATCCTTCAATCCTCGTGTCCTATAAAGAATGAATTAAAATGTTTTACAATAATGAGAAATAGAGTCTTATACCATATCGATTTTCATTGCATAAGTTAGCAAGCCTGATTTATAATTATGAATGATCGCTTATTTCCCCTGCTTCAGGTATCTTTTCGAGAATAGGTCACCAAAAAATCGAGAAAGTGGATGATTTCAAACCTACTTCTCTACTAAACTTTTAACTTCAGAGAGAGAAGTGCTATTGTCCATAAAGAGAGTAAAATGAAAGAGTAGAGAAGATCCCTTCCATTATCTTTGATTTATATGTCATAAATGAAGGTGAATGTCCGTATTACTGAATACTGATCAAAACGATTTTATATTTTTCACAGAGAATAAGGATTCAGAATTGATTTTGAAGCCTCATTAATTGAGAACTGGCCGAATATGCTCAAGCTTTGGAAAAAGTTTATTTTTTTTAAACTGTAAGATTAAAATAATAGACAATAAATTACCAGGGCTAGATAATACTAAATAATTATAAAGATTAGAAGAAAATACAATATCGCTTAACAAAGCATGAAGACACTTTAACTTCCTTCAGCTATTCGGTGAAGTTTAATTGTTGGAAATGAAAAATTCAAATCATGAAACAAGTATATGCAAAACTATGAATTGAGAAATCAATGAAAAAGTGTGAAGGCATTTATAGCGTTTAAAAACTAACACGGATATCTGCGTTTCAAAATAGTTAAGCAATGGATTATGTTTTTACATGCAACCTTATGCGGTGATATTCGAAGAATTTTATCCTGGTTCAATCCAAATGGAAGCGATTTTTCAACTCATACTGTCGAAAGGGAATTCGGAAGTAGTGGGCGATTTTGAGAAATGAAGGAAAAAAAATCTGATTTTTCTCATTTTCGAAAAAAAAACAGGTTCAAATCCCTCATGATAAATAATCAGAAAAACAAGATTTGGAGCTATTTATTGTACCATCTTTCTTTTTTTTTTTTCTTTTTTTTTCACTACATTTTATCCCTTTCTTTCCTTCCTCTTCTCAAAAAAAGACGAATATAAATCGTTTTGTTTTACAATTTCTTTTTCCTTCATTTAAGTGAAGGACAGTTATTGAAGCAAATCGCACAAAGTTATCTTCGAAAACTCCTTTGCTATCATTTGATGAAAAGATGCTGAAATACAACTTTTTATGGGAAATTCGTAAATGCATTAAAGTTCCGCAGGTACCACATTTGTATACCGATACTACTTTCGCTACAATTAATAAGGTACATGTCCATCCAGTTGGCCTCCACTAACGTTAGTATTTCAAATTCATGAATTCGAACATGTCTTCAGTCAATAGCACATATTTTTTACGCGAGGATATTGAAGAGAAAATAAGGAGAGGAAGAAGAGAAAGCGCAGAAACTTGCAGGACATTTGAGCTGGGATTGTCCCATCGTACAAGACAGGTGGTAAGAGTAATTTATCATTTTCATTGATCTATAAGTGTTAAGCGATTCAAGTAAAACCAGAGATACTAAAGATAGTGATAATACAGTCTGACACTGTATATCACGTAAATACTTTATTTATGGATGGATGGATGGATGGATGGATGGATGGATGGATGGATGGATGGATGGATGGATGGATGGATGGATGGATGGATGGATGGTGTTGGATGGATGGATGGATGGATCGGATGGATCACACTTTCTTCTTACTCTTCTCGTCTTGCTACTACTTAAAATAGCACTGTTGCTGCTCCTTTGCGCATTTGAATACTGCCGCCACTGCTGCAGATGCTGTTGCCGTTAATACACCACCTCCTGCAGATAAGACATGCACATCATGCCGGCAGCAGTAGTAGTAGTAGTAGCAGCTCAAAATACCGTATCCAAGTCGAAGAGGCGGAGCTGTCCTCTTCGAATCCTTTGCTATTGCTCCACTTCTCTCACTCTTCTTGTTATCAGATGAACAAACTTAGAAAGTCTTTGTGGGCGTTTATCGGTGAAATTTTGATTGGTTGGATTGCCTGGAAAATCAGATT